AATGTCTAAATGATGTCCAAATGATCATTCAATCCTCAAATCCTCTCAATCCTCATCATTAGTGTTGTCACTACTTATAGTGTTGTTAGCGGTAGAGGTGTTGAGACACAACTTCCACTACACAGCGATGTTAAGGGTATTAATATTCAGTATTGAATTTATACTGTTGTTCAACATTAGCAACATTGACAACATTGGGAACATTGGCAACATTGGCAACATTGCATTCAATGACAACTTTGTGTGATGGAAAAGTTATACACTCTATCACATAGAATATTAATTATATTATATATTATAGTGGATTCTGTGATGTAAATGTTCTAGTACAATTACAAGTTTTAATTAATACAGGAGTACTAATTCAATTAATTAACTTCAATATTTACAAATTAATCATAAATTTAAAAACTTTTGGTACTTTTTATAATACATGTGTGAATGTGAAAAGTATTCTCTGGATTTAGCTAATTGTCATCTTTTGATGATTAGTATTAATGAAAGCAATGGAATGATGACAACAACTATCCTTAACGGCCATAATCTGTGGTTTTCGTGTCATTCATTAATTACATTAATTTGTATCAATTGTTTATAACTTGAAAAACAATTTAATTACTATAAGTTTTATACTGTATTCTGTATGACGTGATAACAAGCCTCTAATCAATACATTCAAAGCACGGTTTATATGCAGTAAAAACTTCCTGAATATTTACAGACAGTGTTGGGTAACAGTAGTCGCACTGTATTCTCGTTTTTTATTCAATATTCACTCAAATAATATCGAGTGATAAAGAAGTGATGAATACATGATATAATTATTATTTAACTCACAAAATATTGTCAATCACTGCTTATATTTTTGCATAGCAAGTAAAATGACATTCTTCACGTTATCGTCAGCCGTTTATTAAAATTTAGTGATCAGAGATTACATGTATTCAATTGAAGTATGGGTTCTATTACCGTTACTGCACAATATATTTAAATAACTATTAGTTAGTTCAAATAGTTATTTCAAATATTTATTTATTAACTATATATTCTTTCCCAAAAATTATCTATTAATAAAGACCAATTAATTATTATATGTACACAACCATAATAATAATTATATCAAAATATCTAATACAAAAATAATAATATTATTGTATTATTAAAATTACAATTTTAGGTTCCCATTATTACTAAAATTCGTTTATTGCCTAAATTATTGTATACCTAACTTAACTTATATGCTTTTTTCATTCATATAATTTGTGTTAATGCATGTTATAAAGGTTACTTTATCAAACCAAACATAATCATATGATGTTACATTTATAATATTCTAATAACACTATTCTTGTACTTTATAATAATGATTAATAACAGAGATATTAGTATTTTATATGATTTATTAACGCTAACTCAAACAAATGCAAAGTTTTTACCACTTTTGTTATCACACTTTTACATATCATAGACATAATAGACATAATTAGTGATAATTATGGTGTGAATCAATATAAGAAAGGGTTGATATGTTGGGTGTGATGTGGTGTACATAATAGTGGTGTTGCTAATAAAGGGGTTCGTCTGTGTTGTGTTGTGTTTGCATAGAGTTGTTGTGAAGTGATGTCAAAGAGGTTGAGAAGTCATAGAAATGTAACACAAATTGAATACTTCGCGGCTTTCACTCTGTTATACGTTATATAATATCCAATCATTTGTATTATAATTTCATACACTCTGTGTGTAACCTATTATACACTTATATATTGTATTAACTCATTATAATTAACACAATTTACAACTATATATAGCATAACATCTCTCACTATATAATCATCAAATATATTGTTTCAATAAACTATTATAAATCCGATTCAACTCTTGTTTTATAAATCGTTAAATTATTTATTTGTTTGTTTACAACAAATCCATTGAATAATTCAGTGTTTGTATGAATTTATAATTTAATTAGATATCCATTGCTATTAATGTGAAGAGTATTTAAAACTAATGTCTATTTGATTACTAGTAGTGATCATCAAATCATCTAAACATGGCTTTGGCTGGATTTAGGAAACAATTAAATAAAGCTAATCAGGTATCATATGATCATGATCATGACGATATAACCATGTCTTGTAATCAATATAATTAAATATGTCTAATATTTAATGTATTGTATAGTATATGAGCGAAAAGATCGGCGGAGCGGAGGGAACAAAGTTTAAAGATGACTTCACTCATATGGAAAGGGTATCACCTCTTCCTCCTCTACCATCTCTTCCCATTAATAATCTGTTGTTTTGATTGCATTTATATATAGAAAACCGATTTAACCAATGAATTGGTCGAAGATTTGTTAAATAAAACGAAAGAGTATTTACAGCCAAATCCTGGTATTTATACAATTGATTGATTAACTCATTTGATATGAATTGACGGTTAATTGTTTGGTCTAATCCATAGCAACTCGAGCTAAGTTAACGGTGAGCTCTAAGATAAAGGGCTCCAAAACGCACAGTTATCCACAACCGGAGGGAACTTTAGGAGACTCTATGTGTAAATTCGGCAAAGATTTGGGCGAAGACTCGTCTTTTGGTTTGTGTAAAACATTGATTAATCAATTGATGGCTGAAATGCTTAATACTGTGTCTGTGCTGTACTTTACGGCTAATTATAGCCCAAAGCCTTAATGAAATGGGAGAAGCCTTACGAGAAATGGCGGAAATAAAGTATGCACTCGAAGACAATGTGAAACAAAACTTTTTGGAACCGTTAACACACTTGCAGTCAAAAGACTTGAAGGATGTGATGCATCACAGGAAGAAACTCGAGGGAAGACGACTCGACTACGACTGCAAGAAACGCAGGAAAATCAAAGGAACGCATATAACCGAAGACGATATCAAATTGGCTGAAGACAAGTTCGAAGAGTCATTCAACTTGGCGTCGATGGGAATGCATAACCTCTTGCAGAACGACGTCGAACAGGTCTCACAAATCGCCGCTCTGTCGGAAGCGCTCTACGAATATCACACTCAATGCGCGAACATCTTAGAGAGTCTCACTTCAAGACTTATGGAACAGTTAGTCATTTTTGCCCATATATATCATTATTAGACAAAATTGTAATCTTATTATTGGGTTTGACTTAAAGGAAGAACGAATCGGCGAATAAGAGTCCCGAACCTTATGTACCGAAGAAATTACATGAATTGAATCTAAACGTAGGACACGACGACACATCTCCAGGAACTGATCATTTCAATGGTTATAATGCAGATTTCAATCAATTTGATGGACAGTTCTATAACCCTATTAGCACTACCGCTCATTTACTCAACGGTAAAACCATAGCCAACAATCATCAACAATACCGTAACAATAGTAATGTCAATAATATTAAGCATTTAATTCTCAATAATTCCGCTATAACTCAACATTTATGCTTAATCTCAGTCTTACGCTAATCTAATTGTTAACTTTTACTAACCACTTCTCGTATCAAATCCAATCGATTGTTGGTTTTGGTCTTTATTCGTGAAAACATTTCATTACTACTCTTTTAATGTTGATCTCTATTTCTAACTCAAACTTTATTTTCCACTTTTATTGCACTCAATGGTGTGTTGTTTTGCTATACGTATTGTGTTGGGCGCTCAGAATCTCCGGGCTCAGAAACGCCACAAAAGCCGTCTAATCTGTTTTTAGACACCACTAACGCTAACTCTACGATGCGCTCTCCCAATGGTACTCATGACTAACCAACTATTGTCTTGTCTAACACTACTAACTCTATGCTTTGAATTGCTGTCTTCTCTGTCAATTGCAATGTAAAACATGGTAATTATAGCATCACCTCTTCCTTCTCCCGTTCGATCTCCAGCCCGATCTCCAGAGCAGCGCAACCCGTGCTGTCAGGCGTTGTATGACTTCGAGCCGGAAAACGCAAACGAATTGCCTTTCAGAGAGGGAGATATGATTCAATTGAAGACTCAAATCGACGACAATTGGTATGAAGGCGTTCTCAACGGCAAGAGTGGATTGTTTCCTATCAGTTATGTTCAAGTGGTGGTACCGTTAGGCCATTGAGTCAACTATATTATATGCCTAACAATTAAATGCTAGCCTTCGATGTGTTCAATCGGTCTATTGGTCTCCCTTTTTGGGTAATTTATAATTAAATTAAATTTGATTGATTTGAATACAAGTGAACTATTTTGCATAATGTGTTTGACTTGGAGTCTAATCTTTAATTTAATGTGTTATATATTGAAACCAAAGATCATTGAGTTTTGAATTATTTATAGTTTGTGACAAAAACTGCTGTTTTGCTCATTATTTACCAAATTGTTAAACCGAGACATTTGTTGTTATAATTTAAGTCATTTTATTTGGCTGTTTGTTTAAATTTTAATTTTTAGACAATTTGAACCGAGATTTTATTTATCATGTTTTACAACATTTCCAATAGAGTTATTAAAATTACAAATACATTAACATAAATATAAAACATGTGTCGTATAAGTCTTATAAAAGTTTTATTTCAATTGAATTATGCGATAAAAAGACTGATTTTGAATATAATTTGCGATCCAATTGATACCATATATATCAGTGCAGTAAACTATTCATACATACAGTAACTGTTGGTCAGAAAATGCAGTGCAATCGATATAAAACAGTGTGATTTTCCTCATCATTTCAAGACACTAATTATCAAATTATCATAACATTTAATTCAATATATTTGGTGCTCTAATTATCATTCATTAATTATATTGAAATTATTTTTATCTTTCGGATTGAAAATCAAAATGAAAATGACTTAAAAACCGAAAGTTATACACAAATTATTTTGATTAAAGAATTGAGAATAAAATATAGCTATAGATTGAGAGTAACACAGACTCAACATATTATGTTTAACTTTAATATTTATTATAAAATGACAAATGATTACAAGTATTATTCCATCCTTTGAGGATCTCTATTAAGATATTAAAGTATATAACAATATATACTACTAATTATCGATTGAATTCTATGTCGTATTGTTATTTCAATAAATAATATTTAATATTCCTTAACATATATGTATTGTATTCTACGGTACGATATGTATAGTAATAATATATAACAATAATTATATCAAAACTATTTTTCCTGTTCTAATACTATTAAACAAAACTTTAATTTCAATATAAAATATTGAATCTTAAGACTAAGGTTAATAAGATTATAATCAACGCATACGTCGAGCCAATAATTAATCATAAAATAACTGTTGACTGTTATTATAATAGTTTTGTTTGAATTCAATTATAACAAAAAGCAATATATTATTAATAATATATTAAATATGATAAATGATTGTACGCCTCATATTGTGATTAAAAATTATTATTGGATTTAAATTTTAATATCAATTGCAGTTTTAAATAATTCTCAAAACAATGCTTATAATTGTAAGAATTTTATTTACAATGATTTCAATTATAAAATAATAATTATATTTATGAAATAATAAAATTAAAACAATGCAATTGTATGAGAGATTCAAACCTAAAAATCCTAAACTATATAATTAATTATGGGTTGGAGTGTCTAACGTGTAAATTGACCACATATTCAGCATTAGTTCGTTGAACGCTTATCAACAACGGATCCGTTGGATGTAATGTGAAGGCAACCAGTCTTCGGGCCACTGAACCGGAACTTCTATTTTGAAGTCCGGCATATATTTTAAACCTTAAAATTCCCGAATCCCTGGCATAGAAGCGAATCGGATGATCACCGCATGCTTTCGGTCTTTCCATCACTGAAATCCATTTGTCATCATAACTGAAGAGCGATAGATCCAAGTATGGGCTGTCAATGGATCAAAGGTTACATTTAAGTTCAACAATACATTGTATATCAAGTGTACAATACCTGCAGGTATATGATTGAGCACTGATGGGCAACTGTGCCAACAGTCGTCTCACAGCTTCGGTGTGACCGCCATTTCTGGCATTAATGATAGTTTGTTTGAATCTCTGCTGAAGAAGTCTGGAATGAATGTTATTAGAAGGCGAGCAAATCAATTGGGATGGACTTCGCAGCGAACAGTTGCGATACAAATCACAAAAACTCTCAAAGAGTTGCAACAATTCTTCGGACGTGTTCTCGAAGACAGCGATAACACAACTCGTGATCATATTGTAGACCACAAAAAGAGATGGCGGACTATTGAGATCAGATAAACGTAATGTAATGACTTCTTCGCTCGCGTATCTCAAAAGTAAGTGATTTTCATCTAATAATTGCATTTTCCAAACCCTAAGCGAACAAAACTGGTCGAAATTCTGGTAAAACCTTCTGATCGGCAGATAATTGCCTTTTAATTGGCTCTCAAGTTCTGCCCGTCTGTATAGGAAAACCATTAATCGGTGTTTGAGTGCATTAATGGTCACTTCACGGAATGGTCGCACTTGTGTCTGATGTCGACCAGTACTGGACGAGCGCTCTCGAGACGCGGCCGACGAGACCAGAAACTCGTCGTCTTCGTGACAGAACCGACCGATGCTTTTGGCGTCAATGAATTGTCCCTCTTTTGAGATATGGAAAACATGAATGGTTTGGTGCTGTACTGACAGCACCGCCAGTGTGTTGTCGTATAAATAGATGCCCTGATTATGGGATAGAAATATTTTGTCTGTTTTGAAGACTCGTTTATCACAAACTCTTCCATTCGTTATATCAATCAAATGCAAAGAGTAGTCTTCGAGAGGAGACCTCGAGTTTGGAGACACGGATTCGTTGTTGCGGTAAATATCGAAATAAATTGGCGGCAATTCGTCGGCAACAAAAGCGGCCGAACCCACGATTACGTAACGGCTGTCATCTGTGAAGAGACTGCACTCGCGATTCAATTGTTCGCCATTTGTGGTCACATTCACCACATGTTTGAGTTTGAAAAATGTCTCAAACACTTTGCTCTTAAGGCGAACCGACTGCTCGTCGTTTCCATTGGATGTGAACTCTTGCGACGAAGGGATGTCTTTGAGGAGATGGGAAGCGGCCGACGGACCCATATATTGATAGATCTCTATACAGGTCTGGTCTGCGCTGAACGCCAATAGGAAGCGTCCGTCGGGTGTGAACTTCCGGAGAAAACAATTGGGTTTTTCGATGTTTACAATCGTAAAGTTGGGCGCAATGTTCTGATGCAGAGCTCGCATACCATTCCTCTCACTTCTACCACTTCTATGGCCACCGAAACTCAGTTCACGTCTCAAGAGTCGGATCACAACATTTTGCGGACAAATTCGTCTCCTTTTGATTCCCTCCCATTCAGTGAACTCTTGCTCTTCAATGGCATCCAAACACCTCTTCTTAGCCTTGGATTCAATATCTTGAGAGTTGACCCCATTTTCAATGCATCCCTTCTTCGACGAGTGGCCGTGTCTTCCGTTTGTGTCCACTATTTCACACTTCTTACACATCTTCTCAACACTTTTATGTCAACCACTAAACCATTAATTCATTCATTAATTAGTTTTGCATTTAATTAAAGTGAAAATCATAACAAAATCATAGTTTTTGGAGATCTCTGTAAAGCAATACCAAACAAATCACTCAATCGTTGCCACAAAACATATGTAACTTTGATTTCACCTCTAATTGAGTCCAATATTGCACTTCAAATACAAACCAAATATAAATGAATATAAAATGCGATAAATATTTCAATATTTAAATTAATAATTAATGTATTAATGAAATAAAGTTTAAATTAAATTTCAAACTAAAACGTCATATGATTTGTAAATATATAGTAATAATAATAATAATATTGTTATTAAAACTCGTTTGCAGTACTCTTTTGTGTTCAATTCATGTCATATGATAAGCCATTACTAAATAACGTTACACTTATTGCTTGTTTATTGTCCCTAAAGTACTACTAGTGAACAGACTGTGTGTTAGCTGTAGTCATGTCTCCCAATGGGTCTCTTGTATCGGCGATAATGAGTATATGGTTTGTGAAGAGTCCTTATCCTTGAACTACTGTCCTATACATTGAATGAAATGTTTGGTCTGAAGTGCAATACACAGTATATACAGTACAATATGCCAATTGTGTACATATTTAGCAATTTAATTATTGTTTAAATAACTAAATTCATTATATGATTACAATATTACTATAATTGAAATCATTTAAAATAAGTCTCATTTCATGGAAAGTAATCAAAAGTCACTTATTATACCAGATATTGAGAAATACATGTGTTTTATAACGAGTGTTGACTGTATTTAATAAACAGCTGTTTTGTGTGCATTTTTGGCGCATTTTTACAATTATCATCAAGTGATTTGACTTGACTCAAGTGTATTGTCTTCAGCATTGGACCCATTCCTCCACATATCTCACACAATGGTTGTAATGAAAAGACATGAATTCAATGATATGATCAATAAATATAGACATTTGCGACGACTCTATGGCATGGATTTGAGATGTATTTTGAATGAATTGATGCAATGTTTGAGTGGATGTGTTGGAAGTGATGGCGAAGTGGAGGCGAAGGGACACAAGTGGAGGGAAAGCAAGTCTCTTGTATCGGCGATAATGAGTATATGGTTTGTGAAGAGTCCTTATCCTTGAACTACTGTCCTATACATTGAATGAAATGTTTGGTCTGAAGTGCAATACACAGTATATACAGTACAATATGCCTATTGTGTACATATTTATCAATTTAATTATGGTTTCAATAACTAAATTCATTATATGATTACAATATTAGTATAATTGAAATCATTTAAAATAAGTCTAATTTCATGGAAAGTAATCAAAAGTCACTTATTATACTAGATATTGAGAAATACATGTGTTTTATAACGAGTGTTGACTGTATTTAATAAACAGCTGTTTTGTGTGCATTTTTGGCGCATTTTTACAATTATCGTGTGATTTGACTTGACTCAAGTGTATTGTCTTCAGCATTGGATCCATTCCTCCAGATATCTCACACAATGGTTGTAATGAAAAGACATGAATTCAATGATATGATCAATAAATACAGACATTTGCGACGACTCTATGGCATGGATTTGAGATGTATTTTGAATGAATTGATGCAATGTTTGAGTGGATGTGTTGGAAGTGATGGCGAAGTGGAGGCGAAGGGACACAAGTGGAGGGAAAGCATTGTCTACAGTCTTATCTCATATGAGTTCAAGTGTGAGATCAAGTCATTAGTGCCTAAATTCAATTTGAGTCCATTTCTCGACGATTACGCCAAACACGACAAGTCTGTGATCGAGTTATGCGAAGACAATCACATGAGTTATGCCATCGTTTGTCAACACATTCTTCAGGACCACAACAATCACGACAAGAATTTATGCAAAACGTTGTCCACAAATACGAGTCTTATAAGCGATGGGAGACTGGCTTTCGATGTAATGGTTTGTAACATAAATGACATCATTTTCGGCAACCATTCAAATCATATGACAAACAATACGGGAATTGTGTTCGAGTCGGAGGTCAGTCACCATCTGAACCGATACCACATCTCATACATGAGTGAATCCCAGTTACGGCTCAACAACTTTGACGTCACGCCGGACTTCAAACTCAATTTACCACTCGTTGTGAAGGTATCGAAGAAGAATAGTAATGACATCTCATTGATTAAAACCGACCGCTATTTCGACCAATCGTTCACTTCGTTAATTGAAAGGAGCGACGACTCCGAGTACGAGAATGTGGTCATCAATTGGATTGAATGCAAATCAATGTTTGCATCAGAGATGTGTCACTCCAAGTACTATCGCAACCAATACTCTTCGTATATAAACCGTTTCGGTAATGGACTCGTCTTATATAAGTATGGATTCGTCTCTCATATCAGACAACAATTCAAACTCAATATCATAGTCAGCCATCGATTGCCTCCAATCATCGAATCCAACGATTCCCTCAAATCTATTCACAAAATGCATTAAAATATTATTCTTGTCTTTGTTTTAGAATTTGTTTTAATATTTACTATATTTTTAGCAAAAGATTAAAATATAAAATGATTTTACTATAATATGTATAAATTGTTTAAACACTTAATCGCCTAAAAATCGTATAATTATGGGTAAAGTGATGGCAATGAGTGCATAAGTGGCCACAACTGTTGTCAAACTATTCACTTTCATTTTATACTCTAAATTAGATTCAGTGTTTGTAATGATTTCAACGATTTTATCTTCATTTCTATTGTCAGTCTGTGTTTGGATCGATGTTTTCTCAACTAAAACAGGCGTCTCTTCCCTAACCGTATCAGGTATTGAAGTGTTGGTCACTTCGAGCTTATAATTCTTCGTCAGTTCAATCATTTGCGCCAATTCTTTGAAGTCTCTTCGTTTGAATGCGTGGTTAATACTGGCGGCTATAATGCCGAGACACGCGCCCACTATTGTCCCAAACATTGACAGGTATTTCGTCTTTTCCTGACGAAGGCGTTCAACCTTTGGGTTTAGACAACGATTAGCCCATCATATGAACCGAATGCCAGACCAATAGTTGGCCGACACATACCTCGTGAGCGTCTCTTAATTTGTTAGAGAACTCGGAAAACAAGTGTCTCTCAGTTTGTTCCAGTCTTCGGAGCGAATCAATCATTTGGATCTCGTTTTTGATTAATTGGTGCTCTTTTGTGATTAAAGACAAATACGATTCATCACTCCTTTGCGTCGAATCTGTTATTAAATCACTTATTAATAGCAATTCAACACATATTATGTCTATAAATAATATTCATTGGATTAGTGAGAAAAAGAGTGCAAATAATGGCATTCATGTAAATGTCAAGTGAAGTGATTAGATTATAAGGGATAATAAGTGATAATATTAGACCCAATTTGTGTCGGATCTGTTTGAGCTGTTCCTGAAGACCGATCATATCGTTTTGTACATCACGTCTCGCTTTAGTGGACTCCGCAAACACTGATTCACTCTATTATTAAATACAATAAACAATCACTCGTTAATGAATTGAGTGGTCATCTGATGGTCACGTACTTTGAGAACCGCTTCTTGTGTTTTGCGGACTTCTTTCACACCAATAAAGTCTTCGTAAAAGTCGTACAAATTCTTCAGCTTTTGGTTGAATGAGAAGTTTTGGTAACGATTTCTCATATGATATGCAAACGATTGTATAGTTGACGGCTTCGGTATGTTTTGCATCGCTTTTCT